GCGTAAGATATAGCACGAATTTGGAAGTTCAACGCGGAACGAACGCTAAAATCGCGGTAATACCTCGGAACGTGACTGTTTTACTCGAGAATCGAAACGACAGTGTCCGCTAACGATTAGACGTGCGCCGATCGAGATGTACCTCTTTGTTCTCAGAAAACAAGAGAGGGCATGTGACGCGGAGCAATATGATTCGCCGCGGCCGAAAACGAGGTTGACGACCTGTCGGTCCGGTACCGCGCGCGCCGAACGCTTTACCGCAGCGAGCACCGATCAGCTGATCGGCACGTGCTCTACCCGTCCCGCGACTCGCGTTAGCGACCCGATCCGCTAGCTCGATCTCGAACATACCGCCCGTCTTGAAACGTCAGTTTCAATTTGAGCGGTACGGCAAGATCCGCCCGCCGTGCCCTCTGAAACAAAAAAAAACGGCATGCACATTAATTATTATCTAGGACGAATAATATAAAGGTTTCACATCAATTTGCGGGCACGGACATGTTGCGCGACGAAACAAAAGAAATATTTGAAACGACATTATACTTAAATCGGCTCTGGGCTTTTACTGTTTCTCGATGTCGACGGGAAGACAGCAGATTTTGACGATGGGTCGCTTAAACTCAGAGCCGGCGGTCTTGACGGTAACTACGCGGACAAGTCCGTCGGCTCCGGTATGGCACTGAGTGATTCTCCCGAGCTCCCACTTGCAGGGTGGAAGCGTAGAATTTTTTAACACGAGCTGCCCGACTTTCACTGGAGATTGCAACGTTCTCCATTTACTGCGTTGCTGTAACGTATTGATGTAGTCGTCTTGCCATCGGCGTCAAAATCCCTCCGTCAATTGCCGAACTCGTTGCCAACGGGACAACCGATTTTCATTTACGTCTAACACGGATGGCTCGGAACTGACATTAACCGCGGAGCCGATCAAGAAGTTTCCGGGGGTTAATGTGTCGTAATCGTCCGGAGTGTCCTTGATCGGCGTGAGGGGCCGTGAGTTAAGACACGCCTCAATCCTGCATAACAGTGTGGAAAACTCTTCGAACGTGAGCGTATTGCTCTTTAAAACCCGTCGGAGGTGATACTTCACGCTCTTCACCCCTGCTTCCCACAATCCGCCGAAGTGCGGTGCGGATGGAGGCAAAAAGTGCCATGTGATACGATCGGAAGCGGTAGCGTTCTGAAAGTTGGGATCGCGAAGCGCAGCCTGATACGCCCGTTGCAGCTCTCGATCAGCGCCGACGAACGTAGTACCGTTATCAGAATGCATCGATTCCGGCAATCCTCGACGAGCGCAGAACCGCGAGAATGCATCTAAAAACGCCGAGGTCGTATAATCGCCGACCAGCTCCAAGTGAATGGTTCGGCTTGCGAGACAAACGAATAAGGCTATATAGGCCTTTTTTGATTTCACACCGCGGCCCCCAGAAGTGCGAACTACCACCGGACCGGCGTAATCGATGCCGCAGTGCTGAAAGTTTTGTGCGGGTGGAGTAACGCGCGACACTGGAAGATCTCCCATAAGCTGGGACGGAGAACTCGCCTTTTCGCGGGTGCACGTTACACATTTGAAGAGGACTGCCTTAACGACCGTGCGAGCGCGCACGACCCAATACTCTCATCTCAACGTTGCTAGAGTTAATTGCAATCCGGCATGGAGCGACCGGATATGAATATGTTGGATGAGAAGACTCACGAGCGGGTGCGAGGCGAGCACGATCGGATGTCGAGTGGCGAATGGAATCGGGGCGTTTTTTAATCGCCCACCGACTCGCAGAAGCCCGTCCTCATCGAGAAACGGGTGAAGTGAGAGAAGGGTGCTTTTCTTCGAGATTTGACATTGATTTTTCAGAGCGTTAAGTTCTTGGGAGAACAACGTGCTTTGAACGCGTTGAAGCCAAAACACTTTGGCGCGTTGAATTTCGTGAGAGGTCAAAGCTGAGGTCTTTGTTCCGACTCCCCGACAGCGACTAATGAACCTTTGGATATACGCGGTAACGCGAATCAGCTTTAACCAAGACGAAAATTTATCTATGAGGTCCCATTCCGGGAGCGGGATAGCGGAATGCACAACTCTCTTTTGTGCTCCATTTCTACATCGGAATGAGCGGTGGCGACGTTATTCGGCCAATTGTCCGGCGAACACCGTAACCAGTTCGGCCCTTGCCACCATAACTTGAACCCTTTCAAGTCCCGGCCGAGCAATCCACGCGATGCGCAGTCGACCGGATTATCCTGCGTTGGCACATGGGGCCAAGATGCGGCCGGAACATTAGCCTGAACTTCGCTGACTCTATTTGCTACGAATGTTTTCCACTGTGATGGATGCTGCTTGAGCCACGCGAGTACAATGGTCGAGTCGGTCCAACAGACACAACGCGAAATCTCAACTCGAAGCGAGCATTGAACAAAACAGATCAATCTGGACAGAAGGACCGCGGCTGACAACTCGAGTCGGGGTATGCTCAGAGGTTTTACGGGTGCGACTTTAGATTTCGCTGTTAAGAGAGAGATTGTGATCTTACCGGATTTCGAGACAGTTTTAAGGTAGACTACAGCGGCGTAGGCGACTGACGATGCATCGGCAAATCCGTGAATCTCCGAGAGAGTCGCGGTCGCGTCGGTTCCTATCCAGCGAGGAAGCTCGAGATTATTCAATTCGGTAAGGTGATGGTAAATGGTGCGCCATTTATCGAAAAGCTCTTCCGGAATTTCGTCGTCCCAATCGGCTTTAAGACGCCACAATAGTTGTAAGAAAATCTTTGCCTTTATCGTTACAGGAGTTACCCAGCCGAGCGGGTCGAATAATTTTGCTATGGTCGAAAGGATATAATAATAAGTCGCTTTGACCGCGGGCAGTCGCCGATGATTTGCACACGAAACGAAAAAACATCCGACGCGGGGCTCCAACTGATCCCGAGTATTTTCAGATTTTCGTCGCTCTGAAATGGTTTTTTGCACGCGAGACCGTGGTTTGTCGGGCTTATATCCGCTAAGAGTGAAGCCGAATTGCTCGCCCATTTTCGCAATTCGAATCCTCCCCGACGGAGCAGTTCGTTAAGTTGATCGCGAGTTTGCTTGAGCCGGGTCGGGTTGTTGTCACCGAAAAGGACATCGTCGACATAAATTTGGTAGGTGAGCACGTCTGAAGCCAACGGAAAATTTCGACCTTCGTCGATGATTAATTGTTTGATTACACGGAGCGCGAGGAATGGAGCGCACGCCGTTCCATACGTTACCGTAAGAAGTTGGAACGCTCGGGATGATTCCGAAGCGTCCGATTTCCACAAAATCCTTTGGAAGTCGACATCGCGGGGGTCAACGAGAATTTGTCGATACATTTTTGTAATATCTGCAGTGTAAACGTATGGAAAGGCGCGCCACTGCAGAATGACCGCGGGTAATTCCGTTTGCAATTTCGGTCCGGCGTATAAGTGATTATTTAATGACGACCCGTTCGTAGTTAAACTCGACGCATCGAAAACCACGCGCAAGTGCGTAGTCGAACTGCTTTCTTGGATAACCGGGTGATGCGGGATGTAAACGCATTGTTCGGGTGGTAAGGAGCATTGAGGCACTTCACGCATGTGCCCGAGACTCTGGTATTCCTGGAGGAAGTCGGAGTACTCTTTTTTGTGTTCAGGTTGGGTTTAAAGTCGCCGCGTTAACGTTGTTAAGCGTTTCTCGGCGATCGCCCGGGAGTCTCCTATGTCGATAGGCGGTTTAGTTTTGAACGGAAGTCGGACAGTGTATCGTCGTCCATCCGACCGACGAGAATGAGTCGAGCAGAAATGTTGTTCACAGGCTTCCTCCTCTGGAGTAAGTATGATTCGACGCGGGATTTCCTCCGTTTCCCAAAATTGTCGAAGTTCCTTGTCGAGGGACAAGGTAGTAGAACAATGTAGTGAAGTGATGCTAGCTCGATCGTCACCCGAATTGACGAACGATGCGTGAGACAAAATTTCGGAACGCGATGTCGGCCCTGAAATTACCCAACCGAATACCGTATTCTGAACGATCGGTCGTCCGCCCGTCGATTTACGAATTCCGTCCAGAATAATTTCGCCATAGAGATCGGCACCGATGAGAAGGTCGATAGGATCCGCACTCAGGGGGTCGCGATCCGCCCATGAAAGCGAACCCATGTGTCCGAGCACGGACTCGCCTAGGACTCGCTGCGGTGAATAGGCCGTCAATGACTTTAAGATTAACGCGGTAGTCGAGAATCCCGGAGCCGATGCACTCCGCGGAGATATTGTGATCTGAGCGGCGTGCCGACAGGTTCCCACCGTGACACCCCCGACGGCAGAGATAGACGTCGGCATGCGCACTCGTTTAAGCCGCAGACTTTGCGCCAGTCGTTCGGTGATAAACGTCATCTCCGACCCTTGGTCAAGTAGCGCTCTTACTTCGACCGATCGACCTGACGGCGCAGTAACAGTAACCCAGGCAGTCGCCAATAAAACAGAAGATCGGCGAAGCTGCTGGGCTGACGCATTGAGTAAATTTATCGCGTCGGGAGGCGACTCGACGGGAATCGCCGGCGGATTTGACGACTTCTGGTCGTCTGGTTTTAAGGAAGAGTTCGAATCATCGTGCAGTAACGAGTGATGCTTGCTTTGACATTGGCGACAAGTATATTTACTTGCGCACTTTTGAACCGAGTGACCTTTACTGAGACAGTTAAAACAGCGACCGTCTTGCTTAACGAACTCGCGACGTTGACTCGAACTCTTCTTTGCGAATATCGGACATGCATTAAGAAAATGATTGGCTTTGCATAAGGAACATTTCGATTGCGCCTTCGCAGTGGCGTTAGTGCTGCTGATTTTTGAGTGTTAGACGCCTTGTTTGACTTGTCCGATGAGGAGAGCGGCAGCTTCCATTCCTCGAGAGCGCGGATTCTCGTATCGAGGAAGTCAAATAGATCCTCGGAGGATGGGAGCGTGTTGACGTCGTTATTTTTGAGGTTCCAAGTCTTGCGCGTATGCGAGTCTAATTTTTGTGAAATCAGGCAAACGAGAATATCGTCCCACAGCTGGTCTGAGGAGCGATCCAAATTTTTGAGCGCCGCTACCGTGGCGTTAGTCTTATCGCGAAGCACCTGTAATTCTGGAATCGACTCACAATGGATCGCGGGAAGATTCAACAATGTATTGAGATGAACATTAAGAAGACGCCGTTTGCATTCGAAGCGGGCCTTCAACGTATCCCACGCAACGGTAAAATTGTCAGCTGTGACGGAAAGATGTTGAATACACTCGCGAGCTCGATACTTTAAACTAGCAGTGAGAAAATGCATCCGCGCGAAGTCTGTTAGCTCCGAATTGTCTATAATTAACGATGTAAACCGATCGCGGAAGCTCTCCCACTCATCATACTTGCCGTCAAAGGGCGGCAAAGTTATTGGCGGTAGATGTGAAAACGAAAAGGCGGAAGACGTCTTTTGCGTTGACGTATCCAGTTGAACTGATTGATTTGGATTGACATACGGTTCAATCTCCTCTAGACACTCAGCCATGTAGTCGGAAGTGGTTTGAAACGTGTCTTCAGCGGTATCATATAAATTGTCTTTGAAATACTCAACCGACTGCTGACTGGCGAGAGAAACGGTGCTTTGCAGAGCTGCATGACCCTGTTGGAATTCCTTCCACAGCTCCTTCAGCCCGTTCAGTCGACTCCTGATTTTTGCGGAGGTGAGATTATTGCGGCCGATCTTCTTAAAGTTGTCGAGAGAGCGCTCGAGCGATCGAAGCAGCTGCTTCTGGTTCTCGAGGAGCTCGATCATGTTGCTTATGATACACTGTCTTTTGCGCGAGGCCCGACCGCACTATCACTTCGATCCGGCTCGAAGGACCAAATTTA